CGAGACTCCGTCTCAAAAAAAAAAAAAAAAAAAAAAAAAGAGTGTCTGATTTCCTGGAGCCCTTGGGCTACACCAGATATACTGTTATGGATTGAACTGCGTCCCCCTGAAATTCATATGCTGAAGTCCTAACCCCCAGGACCTGAAAATGTGACATTATTTGGAGATAAGGTCTTCATAAATTCAAATGAAGCTGTTAGGGTGGGCCCCAATCCAGTATGACCGTGTCCTTATAAAAACGGGAAATTTTGGTCAGGCGCAGAGGCACACACCTGCAACTCCAGCATTTTGGGAGACCAAGGCAGGTGAACTGCTTGAGCCCACGAGTTTGAGATCAGCCTGTCTCTACCAAAAATACACAAATTAGCCAGAGATGGTGGCACACACCTGTAGTCCCAGCTACTGGGGAGGCTGAGGTGGGAGGATCGCCTGAGCCTAGGTGGTTGAGGCTCCAGTGAGCCATGATTGCGCCATTGCACTCTAGCCTGGGCAACAGAGCGAGACCCTATCTCAAAAAAGGGGTGGGGGTTGTTGCTGTTGAGATAGGATCTTGCTCTGTCACCCAGGCTGGGGTGCAGTGGTGCGATCACGGTTCGCCGCAGACTCTACCTCCTGAGCTCAGGTGATCCTCCTGCCTCAACCTCCTTAGTAGCTGGGACTACAGATGCATGCCACCATGCTTGGCTAATTTTTTAAACTGTCACGGAAATAGGGGTCTCACCATGTTGCCCAAGCTAGTCTCGTCTCAGGCAATCCTGCAGCCTTGGCCTCCCAAAGTGCTGGGATTACAGGCCTGAGTCCTCGCACCTGGCTAATGGGGGAGATTTGGGCACAGATGTGTACAGGGAGAAGGCAATGTGAAGACACAGAAGCAGGCAGCCATCTACAAGCCAAGGAGAGGCCAGGCGCAGTGGCTCACACCTCTAATCCCAGCACTTTTGAAGACCGAGGCAGGTGGATCACCTGAGGTCAGGAGTTTGAGACCAGCCTGGCCAACGTAGTGAAACCCTGTCTCCACTAAAAATACAAAAATTAGCCAGGCATAGTGGCAGGCGCCTGTAATCACAGTGACTTGGGAGGCTGAGGCAGGATAATCGCTTGAGCCCAGGAGGCGGAGGTTGCAGTGAGCCCAGATGGTGCCACGGTACTCCAGCCTGGGTGACAGAGTGAGACTCTGTCTCAAAATAAATAAATAAAAAGAGATAAATAAATAAAAGCCAAGGAGAGAGGACTCAGAAGGACCCAACCCTGGCTGACACCTTGACCTCAGACTTCTGGCCTCGGCAACTGTGAGACAATCAATGTCTGCTGCTTAAGACACACGATGTAGGCTGGGTGTGGCAGCTCACACCTCTAATCCCAGCACTTTGGGAGGCTGGGGCAGGCAAATCACCTGAGGTCAGGAGTTCGAGACCAGCCTGACCACCATGGCGAAACCCAGTCTCTACTAAAAAATACAAAAATTAGCCAGGTATGGTGGCATGTGCCTAAACCCTAGCTACTCGGGACGCAGAGGCAGAAGAATTGCTTGAACCTAGGAGGTGGAGGTTGCAGTGAGCCGAGATTATGCCATTGCATTCCATCCTGGGAGACAAGAGCAAAACTCCCTCTCAACAAACAAAGACACATGGTCTACGGTACTCTGTTTACTCTGTTAGGGCGGCCCTAGCTAATGAATACACTAACAGGATTTAGGGCAGGAGCTTTCAGTCACGTGATCTCAGCTGACCTCTAGAGGTGACAGAGATGGAGCTCAGGCCTGTAGGTAGAGCTGAGCTCCAATACAGACCCTGGACAACAAGGCTCTTAGGGAGCCTCTCTGGTTGGCAGTTTGCCATGCGTGTTGTCACACATTGTTGCCAGGAGAGTTAGCGCTGTCCAGCACTCCACTGGGAGGGGGTAACTGGAAACTCTATGCAAGGAACTTTCTTGGACTCTGCCCTATGCACCTCTTCCCTTGCCTGATTTTCATTTGTTTGTTTTGAGACAGTCTCATTCTGTCATCCAGGCTGGAGTGCAGTAGCGTAATGTTACCTTACTGCGACCTCAGCCTCCCGAGTAGCTGGAATTATAGGCACATACCACCACGCCCTGCTAATTTTGTTTTTTGTGGTTTTTTTGAGATGGAGTGTCACTCTGTCCCCCAGGCTAGAGTACAGTGGCATGATCTCAGCTCACTGCAACCTCCGGCCCCCGGGTTCAAGTTGTTCTGCCTCAGCCTCCCAAGTAGCTGGGATTACAGGCGCCTGCCTCCACGCCCAGCTAATTTTTATTTATTATTATTTTTTTGAGATGGAGTTTTGCTCTGTCACCCAGGCTTGAGTGCAGTGGCACGATCTTGGTTCACTGCAACCTCCACCTCCCAGGTTCAAGCGATTCTCCCGTCTCCGCCTCCCAACTAGCTGGGATTATAGGCATCCACCACCACACCTGGCTACTTTTTTGTATTTTTAGCAGAGATGAGGTTTCACCATGTTGGCCAGGCTGGTTTCGAACTCCTGACCTCAAGTGATCCACTCGCCTCAGCCTCCCAAAGTGCTAGGACACAGATGTGAACCACCAGGCCTGGACTTAATATTTGTCTTTTTAGTAGAGATGGGGTTTCACCATCTTGGCCAGGCTGGTCTTGAACTCCTGACCTTGTGATCCACCCATCTCAGCCTCCCAAAGTGCTGGAATTACAGGCGTGAGCCACCATGCCTGGCCTTAATTTTGTATTTTTAGTAGAGATGAGGTTTTCCCCTCTTCCTGACCTCGGGTGATCTGCCCGCCTCAGCCTCCCAAAGTACTGGGATTACAGACGTGAGCCACTGTGCTTGGCCTATTTGTTTTCTCAGATGGGGTCTAACTCTGTCACCCAAGTTGGAGTACACTGGCACGATCATAGTTTATTGTAGCTCAGCTCAAACTCCTGGGCTCAGGGGATCCTCCTGCCTCAGCCTCCTGAGTAGCTGGGACTATAGACACATACCACCATGCCTGGCTAATTTTTAAAAATTTTTGTAGAGATGGGGTCTTGTTATGTTGCTATGTTCAGGCTGGTCTCAAACTCTTGGGCTCAAGCAATCCTCCCAGGCATGGGATTACAGGAGTGAGCCACTGCAACTGTCCCTGACATTAATCCGTATCCTTTTGATGTAATAAACCATAACTGTGAACAGAACATCTTCTAGTCAGTTCCAAGTCCTTCTAGTGAATGATCATACCTGAGTGTTCTCTGGGGACCCCTAAACTTGTCATTGGTAGGCAGAGGTGAGGCTTGTCTTGGGGACTTCCCTAACTTCACCTACTCCATGCAAGGCGTAGAGAAAGCAGGAGAATGAACTCATGTTTCTAGAAGAAACCACAGAGACTGGCTTTGCTGCTGACAGGGCAGATGTGAGGGATGGTTCAGAATGCAGATTCTGGGCCCCATGCTGGGTCTGCTGGATCAAAATCCCAGGGGTGCGGCCAGGAGCCTGAGAGCCTGTGTGCCCACTAGGTGATGGTGCATGCGCAAGTTCCAGAACAGTGGCCGCGCACGGTGGCTCACGCCTGTAATCCCAGCACTTCAGGAGGCCGAGGCGGGTGGATCACCTGGGGTCAGGAGTTCGAAACTAGCCTGACCAACATACTGAAACCCCGTCTCTAATAAAAATACAAAAAATTAGCTGGGTGTGGTGTCAGGCCCCTGTAATCCCAGCTACTCGGGAGGCTGAGACAGGAGAATCACTTGAACCTGGGAGGTGGAGGCTGCAGTGAGCTGAGATCAGGCCATTGCACTCCAGCCTGGGTGACAAGAGCGAAACTCCATCTCAAAATAAAAATATAAAAAAAGTTTGAACAGCCACCATTGTTTTCTCCCCAAGCCTCAGTTTCCCAATCTGTAAAATGAGCACCTACTGCCCCCAGGTCATCCTGCAGGGATTCTGCCCCTTAGAAAATGCTCTTGAAGGAAGCACTGAGCAGGGTGCCCTGCACACGGAAGGTGCCTGATCGTTATCATCTGGGAAACCTCCCGGGTCACTGTGACAAGGAAGGGACATGTCCTGAGCAGGCTGAGCTCCAGTGGGGGACTGCATTGCCCTATGTTGGTGATCATCTTGTACCACATGGGGACCGAGAACTAGAGCAGACAGCCGGCTAGAGTGGGAATTCCATCCCAGCCACTCCCTGGCTGTAGCCTCGTCCAAGTCACTGACCGCCTCTGTGCCTTTGTCCCTCCCCTGAGGGGCAGAGAGGACAGTTCCCATCTCACAAGGCTGCTGTGATGGCTCCAGGGTGTTAATGTGCACAGAGCGCAGTGAGATGACATGAATGCTAATTATTATTATTATGAGTATTATTAAGGCGGTTTGTCTGCACAACAGAGGGGGCCTGGCAGGGTCCATGCTGGCCGTGGCAGCACCTTCCGTGACGCTGGTCCCAGCCAGGCCCTGCCGGGTGCTGAAGGCAAGCGGGGACTCAGCCAGGGGCCCAGACACATCAATGTGGGGACCATCGCTTGTAGGTGCAGGAAATGACCATCTGCGGTACGAGGTTTTGGGAGGGCACTTGTGTGGGATGGTGACAGAGCCAAGCCTTTCCAGAGATCTAGGTGGGTACCCCAGGGGTACAGCAGGGAGGCCCTTGGGGTTTTTTGGGGTGAGTTGAGTCCCAGCGGGGGGAACATTTCACATTTGTTCCTCTAGCACCATCTGCCTCCTCATCTAATTTTAGCCTTCCCAGGCTTGGGAGGGAGGGCGGGGGGTGGAAGCCTGGCTCAGATGGGTCTGGGGGTGGAGGCGGCCCCTCCCAGCCCAGCTGGGGCAATGGGGCAGTACCTGGATGGGCAGAGAATGCAGCAGAAGGGGAGTGAGGCTGCTGGCCGGGTGAGGCAGTGCCAAGGCCCTGGGGCCCAGCCCAACCGTGTCCCCTCAGCCTTTGGAGCTTTCCCAAGGGCAGGGCTGGAGAGAGCAGAGTCACCCGCCAATGCCCTTCACACAGGGATGTCGGGGTGGACAAAGGGCACATCCCAGGGTTAGGGGCTGGACCCACTGGCCTCTTCTCTTGGCCTCTCACCTCATCCCGCCCTTGTCCCCTGCCAGGGCCCACCACGGGGCCGGTAATTGAGTAATTGGTGAGGGTGGGCGGGCAGGCTTGGGGCACTAATTGTGGCATGTGCAGTATCCCAGGACCGGCATAGGGCCGAGCCGGGTAATTAGTTGTTTTTAAATAAACGTCAGCGGGCATGCTTTAATTAAGCCTTCTTCCCAGTGAGAGCCTTGAAGATGTAATCACAGAGAGAGAGAGAGAGAGAGAGAGAGAGAGAGAGAGAGCGTGCACTGGCTCACCAGGAAGGCCTGTCCTGGTGCCAGGGGCCACAGTGGGATGGCTCCTACCAACCTGGCCCAGACAACTTGCTGGAGGTGAGGGAATGGTCCAGGGGCCTCTTGGTGGCACTGGGGTGTGTGTTACCACCAAGTCTTCCTCTGGCCTGCTCCAGCCGAGGTCTGGTGTGAGTCGGGGGGCTATGATTCTTTACTGAGTGATCAGGAGGGTTTTCACCACTTTATCTGCCCTCCCAGCAGGGTTTGGGAGCCTCAGCCCCTCCCCAGCCCCAGCAACACCTACCTTGGGTGGCCGAGGTGACCAGGACGGCAGTGACACACAGATTCCAGAGCACTGCAGCCAGGCGGGCCATGGTGGCAGCCGGGGGCGTGTCCGGTGCTCTCAGTGGCCTGTGCGGGGGGCCTCGCCCCGCATCACCTGGTGGGCACCACGGCCTGGCCCACCAGCCTGAGGGAGGACAGGAAGAGTGAGGTGTGCGTAGGGGCCTCAAGCCGCTCCCCTCTCCTCCTGCTGGTAGCTGAGTGGCTCTGAGAGGCTGAGGTCCAGCATGTCCCTCGAGCCAGCCCTATCAGTAGGGCCCCCTCCAGGGCCTGCAGCTCACATCATCCCCCACCCCTAGACCCAGCAGGCAGACCCACCCATCTGGGTACCTCCGGGCAAACAGACTGCCATCTCTTCCCAGCTGGAGCCTCCTGGGGCAGCTCATGGGGAGGTCCCAGGCAGGCCTTGGACACTCCAGAAGCCTCTTCCCCCATCCCGCTGTCCTGACCCTGCCCGCTCATCTTCCCCACTCGCATCCTCACCGTGAGCGAGGAGGTAACATGCGTCCTCCTGAGTGGGGGACCCAGGCGAGCAGCCTGCCTTGCAGCCTCCCCGTCTTGGGCAGGAATCCAAGCCCCCACCCCCAGCCCCCTGCTTCCTGTCTCTGGAGCTCTGGTGGCTAATTAGAATCCAGCTGGCGCCACAGATCGGGAACCAGGGACGCCCGAGTCCCCTCTTTCCTCTCCCGGGGACCTTCAGGGTAAGCTGGAGACAGGCAGGCGGGGTGGGAGGGGGCGCTGCCTCTCCCTCTGGGGGGGGGAGGGTCAGAAGAGATGCGGGAGGGTGAGAATTGCGTGCCCTCCCCTGCCATCCTCCCCACCTGCTCCATCCCCAGGCGTAGCGGCTCAGTTCTTTCTTTTTTGTTTTTTTAATTTTAGAAACCGGGTCTCACTGTTGCCCAGGCTGGAGTACAGTGATACAATCATAGCTCAATGCAGCCTCGACCTCCCAGACTCAAGCAATCCTCCCACCTCAGACTCCCGAGTAGCTGAGATCACAGGCTTGTACCACTACCACCAGCGATTTTTTAAAATTTGTTGCAGAGATGGGGTCTTGCTACGTTGCCCAGGCTGATCTTGAACTCGTGGGCTTAAGAGATCTTCCTGCCCGGGCCCCCCAAAACTCTGGGATTACAGGAGTGAGCCACAGTGCCCAGTCCAGGGCTCAGTTCTAACCAATTTCTTCCTCCCTTATGGCTGCTCCTTCTTGCCATTCTCCTGCCTCAGTCTCCCCAAATCCTCTCAAGGTTGCACACTCAAATGTCTGCTCTCAGCTCTTTGCTTTACCTACACCTTGGTTCTCCAGGTGTGGGCCCAGCACAGTGGCATCAGCCTTGCCAGGAACTTGCTAGAAACACATTCTCTTTCTCTCTTTTTGAGACAGGGTCTTGCTCTGTCACCCAGGCTGGAGTGCCGTGGCACAATCACGGCTCACTGCAACTTCCACCTCCTGGGTTCAAATGATGCTCCCACTTCGGCCTCCCTAGTAGCTGGGACCCCTTGCTCTCGGCACCACACCCAGCTAATTATTAATTTTTTAATAGAGACAGGATCTTGCTATGTTGTCCAAGCTGGTCTCGAACACAGGCCTCAAATGATCCTCCCGCCTCAGTCTCCCAAAGTGCTGGGATTACAGGTATAAGCCACTGTGCTGGCCAGAAACACACATTCTCTGAGGAAGGCTCTCCAGCATGGGAACCTCTGCTCTGTCACGTCAGCTGTCATCCCAGCCTGTCCCAACTCAGGCTGCCCTAGGGTCTCGTCTCAGTGCCATCATTGAGCCAGCACTTACAAATCTCTGTGTCCAGCCTGGAATCTCTCATCAGAGCCCCCACTACTATTTCCCTGCTGAAAACCAAAAACCCTTAAAAGTGGCCCAGTTAGTTCCCTCACCCCATTTCTGCTCTGGCCACTCCTGCTGTTCCTGGACCACACCAGGCCCTGCCCAGGGCCTTTGCACCTGTCGCTTCCTCCGCCTGTAGCTTCTGCCAACCCACTATCCACATGGCCGGCTCCTTGAGGCCTTGGCTCACATGGAACCATTCATCTGATACATGCAGTGTCCTCTTCATGGGGCAGGGATCACTGAATTGTTTTGTTCACGGTAGCTGTATCCACAACTTTATTTTTTTTAGACATAGGATCTTGCTCTGTCACTTGGGCTGGACTGCAATGGTGAAATCAGAGCTCACTGCAGCCTCCACCTGCCAGGCTCAAGTGATCCTCCCACCTAAGCCTCCCTAGGAGCTGAAACCACAGGTAGGCACCATCACGTCCAGCTAATTTACTTTATTAAGGAAAGATGAGGTCTTGCCCAGGCTGGACATGAACTTCTGGCCTCAAGAGATCCTCCTGCCTCAGCATCCCAAAGTGCTGGGATTGCTGTGTGAGGCCACACCACGGCTGGCTCCCTGGCCTCAACTTTTACAACAGGCCTGGCCCGAGGCAATGAATTACTTGTTGAATGAATCTGAGACCCCAAACCTAGGCATCTGCTTTGATTCCTCACCCTCCCTGTCATCCCCCTCACAGGAGCCATCAGTAAGTCCTGCAAGCTCTAGCTCTAAAGTATCTCGCCAACCTGCCGGCTTCTGGCTCCAAGCACAGCACCCAGGCCCATGCCACCATCCCGTGTCACCTGTACATTGTCCCAGCCTCCTTGCCTGCCTCCTAATCCACCCTCCACTCAGAGCTGAGGGATTACTTAATGACATTGATCCCAACATGAACTGCCCCCAGGTCTCTGATGGGGTCTCAGTTCCTCACCAGAGCCCAGAGGCTGTGGGTGAACTGGTGCCGCCAAGCTCTCCGAGCCCCATTCTATCCTCCCTCCTGTTCCTGAAACATTCCAGCTCCGGCCCGAAAGCAGGATCCCCGCCGTCAGCTGCAGCTGCTCAATCAGGGCTCCACCGCAAGGTCACCCCAGCAGAGTGACCTGCCCTGGCCCCCTACAAACAAAACAGCCCTTGCCTGCTGCCCTCGCCCACCAGCGTTTTCCCTGTTTTAAATTCACAGCTCTCAAGTGAGCACCTGAAATTACCTTTTTATATCAACACAAGCTTTTGAAAGAGGCCCTTATAAATCGGCACACAGCCAGGTGTGGTGGCTCACACCTGTAATCCCAGCACTTTAGGAGACTGAGGCGGGCAGATCACTGGAGTCGGAAGTTCAAGACCGGCCTGGCCGACATGGTGAAACCCTGTCTCTACTAAAAATACCAAAAAATTAGCTGGGTGTGGTGGCGGGCACCTGTAATCTCAGCTACTCGGGAGGCTGAGCCATGAGAATCACTTGAACCCAGGAGGTGGAGGTTGCAGTGAGCCGAGATTTCGCCACTGCACTCCAGCCTGGGCCACGGAGCCAGACTGTCTCAAAAACAAACAAAACAAAACAAATCGGCACAGGCCCTCAATAAATAAAGATCCCCACAGGGCAGGACACCTGCCTCCATCCTCAGTCTCCGCACAGGGGAAACGGAGACAGTGTCTGCTAGACAGCCCTGAACACCCCTCCCCAGCCCTGCAGCTCTCCGCCCACTTCCCCTCTCATGCGCACTCCTAATGCCAGCTCCCTCTCCACCGCCCCAGCTTCTTCAGTAAATCCCCCCACCCGCCTCCATCCCCCATCTGCAACTCCTGCTCCATCCCTGACTAGACACGGCCAGTGTCACTTTCAGATCATTTTCTAGCATGTTACTTTGGGGATGGGGAGTGCCATCCTCATTTCAACTTCCTCATTTCTCCCTGAGCTCCCCAGCCACAGAAAGACTTGGGGGAGGCACTGACCCCACGCTAAGGAGTACTTCCCTCCCCAGGTCTCCAAGCACTTTCTTTCACACACAACAGTCATCCTAGCAAGAGGAACTGTTTAGGGGAAGTAAAAATGGCTGGCTTGGGATGGTGACTCACGCCTGTGATCTCACTGCTTTGGGAGGCTGAGGTGGGAGGATCACCGGAGCCCAGGAGTTCAAGGCTGCAGTGAGCTATGATCATGCCACTGCACTCCAGCCTGGGCCACATAGTGAGACACTATCTCTAAAAAAAATTTTTTTTTAATTAGGCGTGGTGGTGTACACCTGTAGTCCCCGCTACTTGGGAGGCTGAGGCAGGAGGATCGCTTGAGCCCCAGGAGTTTGCGAGGCTACAGTAAGCTATGATCCTGCCACTGCACTTCAGCCTGGGCAACAGAGCAAGACCCTCTCTCAATTAACAACAACAACAAAAAAAATCAGGCCAGGCATGATTGCTTATGCCTGTAAATCCCAGAACTTCGGGAGGCCGAGGTGGGCAAATTGCAAGGTCAGGAGTTCAGACCAGCCTGACTAAACATAGTGAAACCCCATTTCTACTAAAAATACAAAAAATTAGCTGGGCATAGTGGTGTGTACCTGAAATCCAAGCTACTCGGGAGGCTGAGACAGGAGAATCGCTTAAACCCAGGAGGCGGGGATTGCAGTGAGCCAAGATTGCACCACTGCACTCCAGCCCGGGCAACAGAGTGAGACTCCGGCTCAAAAAAATAAAAAATAAAAAAAGGGCGGGAAAGCCATCTGATGCCAAGCTGTGTGGGCAGCCAATCCACATGGGTCTAGATCCCACTTTTGCCTTGTACGTGCCCCATATGACCTTGAGCTGGTCTCTTTACCTCCCTGGCCCTGGATCCCCCTGCGCTGCTCATCTGCAGGGTTCTGGTAAGGAGAGCAGTGCACGTACATGCCAGGCCAACACAGTCGCCATCAGAGGGTGCTGTGCACAGCCTGGTGCCAGTCAGGGCATGAGGACACCCAAGTCTTCAAAGAGGCAGTCCCTCTCTTCCCCCCAGGCAGGACCCTAGAATGCTGAGGCTCCAGAGTGGAGCCCCTGGAGCCATCTATACTTCCACTGGGGGCTCCAAGGCATCTTCAGCCCAACCAGACCAAAACCAGCCCCTCCATCAGGGCATGATGCCACCATCCTCCCAGACCCTCCAACTAGAACCCCAGGAGCGGAAACTCTTGACTCCTCTTTCTCTCACCCCTAAATCCAGTTCAAGAGTAAGTCTTGGGACTGTCAATACCTCCAGAACAGCCCAGTGTGGGTCCAGAACACCCCAGAGTAGGTCCACACATCTGTCTTCAGCATCTGCCCC